TTATTCAATTAGTTCTATTCTATCGAGTCTTTATTTAAGTCTTTGTTTTTATTCAATCATTTCATTCAATTCGGTTCTTTCGATTAATTTTTATTTCAGGCCTGAAATGTTAATTTTATTTTCAAAATCAAGCTTATCTATTTTTAACCAGTGTAAGTTCTCAATGTTCTCTTAGAACATCAATTTTCCAATTTTTTATTAATAAACTTATAAAAAAAAAATTGCCTGCGAATATTAAAACCGATTTAGATTTCCAATACTGATTGTAATTTCTTATCTTTTATATAAATATGTACCCATCGTTGTAAGCAATGGTTAATACTTATGTCAAATAAAATAATAAAGATTGTAAATATTAAAAAGTTAATATTGAATTTAATTTCATAATTATGTCATATGACAGCTGTTATGCAAAATTGGGAACGGAAGATGTGAGTAGTATTGCATTTAACAACTGTGCACCTTGGGATGTTATATGGAATATTATAAAAAAAAAACTTAATATAATTTATATATAACCTTTCATAAAAAATTTACAGTTTTAGATGGTTTAATATTTTACGGTAGGATAAAATTTTGTCAAAACCAATATTATAGTTCTACAACCAAAGACATAAGTTACTTTTGTCATTTATAAAACACCGATATGGTTAATTAGTGATCATAATTGTGCACAACTATAATAAATAATTATATTTATGCTAAAAACTTTTTTATTGCTAAAAGGTTAAAATCCTATTTATAGTTTGTTTATATTAAATTCAATTTTTTTTGAGACATTTTTGTTTTGTTATTGCTTAGTTGTTGCATTATTATCGTTTGAATGTCTAAAACAGTTGATTATTATAAATATTATTAATACTAGTTTATGCAGTATTTAAAATAAGAAATATGCATCATTTTAATGCTATATATTTTTTCACCTGTAATTTAATTGCTAATTTGTTTAATAAAACTCTTAATAATTCTATTTTCTGGATCTGGATCCCAACATCTTTTCATTAATTTAACTAATTCATGTGGAATATCAATTGGAATTTCTGGACAAAAACTATTAAAAATATCTATAATAAGATATTGATCATGTTTGCGATCAGAAAATGGCCTATAACACTTATTACCTTTCAAATAACTATAAATATCTAATTTTTCTGTAAACTTCCTTCTTTTAATACTTCTAGTGTAACATATGGAATAACTCCATTGATTGCATTCTCATTTGATGATGCATCTATTAACTTGCTTATTCCTAAATCTGCAATTGCCGGAATATAATTCTGTACAATAAGAATATTATCATTA